AAGAGAGATCCCAGAAATTTTTCCATGCACAATTGCTTCAGACTCCCTTGGCACTGATGCTCTCCCCACTATCTTGCTGTTGCCAGACAGCTCCTTTGGCAAATGCTGGCTGCTGGCAGATGCATTTTCCATCTATACTGCAGTGTTAGAAGTTCTCTACGTGACCTGCCTTCTGTGGAAGAGGTCCCTGTAGCATTTCAGATGCCCTGGCACGCTGAATGTTTCCAGAATATTCCAACCCTTCATTTTAAGGCACATCATACCTTATGGACTATGTATGTTTGGACTGCAGTTTGCCCTGAAATTGTCCTTAGCACAAGCTCAGTCTAGGTAAAAGCAAAAGCAGGGGTTTATTTGGAGCATACAGGAAGGCAGCACCATTACTGTGGTGTAGATGGACACACATGACAGGAAGAAAATACCACTCATAAACTATTTGAGATTATATTTTTAATCTGTAATTTCTTCCCTAATCCTTGTGGGCATGTATCTGACACTGGCACACAGACAGCATTTCTGTTTGGAGTCACAAGAGTGACAAGAAGAGGAAGGATTGCCTTTACATCCCACCCTTTCCATATGGTCTCCCAATCTTCTACCATGATTTTGTTCTTCTTTTTCCCCAGTTGGCAAATTATGACTTCTCTTGCACTTGATTGTTCTCCAGTTCCCCTCATTGAAAACGCTTCTGTTCTTTTGATAAGGTCAACTTAGTCATCACTTGTATGCCCAGAGAACAAGCTCCTTTCAGGATGGCTGTATTGCTTGGCTAAACCCTGGACAGGATAGCAGGACACTGTAGGGACAAACACTTTCCACTGCCATGTGGGGCAGGGTTCAGATAAAAAGGAGGGGCCTTTGAAATTCTGAACCTTCTATTTTATACAAATGTGACTCAATAACTGCACATATGTGGAACCAATGCCTGCAAAGACAAAAAATGATCTTCTGGGGGCTGCTCAAAATAGTAATTAATCACTCTGGAATCATGGTAAGTGTGGAGGTGAGAGATACAGTGACATTGCTGGTAAATGCTTTTGGTGTTGGCAACTATTTCCAGGGGAAATGGTGGGTAGAGAAAAGGAACAGAGGATAACTATCGAGGGATTCATTTTATTCTTGCTTAAATGTGGTTTCAGTTGACTTAAACCAGACCTAACATAGTTTTGTGTATCAGTTTAACTAGATTGGTTTCTATCCATGCCTTCCATTGAAATGACACACACATCTGTTTTTCCAAGACTGTGGTATGGTGTGGATATATTTACTGGGCTTGCTGCCATGTCTAGGGGTATTTGGCTGACTTTGTAACAACTACAGACCAAGTTATAACTTCACAAAAGTCCAGGTTGTGTATGGCTTGTACTTAGGGCCGCCAGCAAAGATGGCTAAGAAATGTCCTTCAGAGCAGAGTGGAGCTGGTCTGAAGAGAATGAGCTGAGACAGGCTTTGCTTTGTATTATTTCCTGTTCCACTTAGAGGTGTAAAGATTACTCTGCAAATGATCAGGAATTTCCTGCTTCTGCATTATGCTCGGTTGCAGCAGAAGTGCAGCATGTCCTGTGCTTGTGGTTTTTGGTGGTGGAAAAGCATTCTTGAAAGAGAGTTGTCAGGTTTGGTACTTGCTCACATTGACGAATTTCTTACCTTCTCATAATTTTGAAGTTACAGAGAAAATTAAAAAATACTTTTTACTCTGTTTCTTAACTGTTGTGTTGCCACTTCAGGGTTTTCCTGTTGGCCTGCAAATAGGGATTTTTCAAAGCAGAATCACTCAATCCTTCTTTGGAGGTGACCTGAAATGTGCAATTCTCAGTTTCAGAACCATTAAACAACCCTTGAAACTGCTAACAAGCAAAACTTTGTGTAGTCAAAACCTCGGTTATGGGTACGACTGGATTGTAGCTTCTCAGCAGGTGAATAAAGTCTAATGATCCCCAGTTTAAATGCAAGTTAGATGAGCAGATCTCTCTGTACCCTCCTCACATCTTAAGGATCCTTATTCCAATAAGCAGGATGAAGGATTCACTTTATTCTTTCTAGATTATCTTCTGAGTATCTTGGACAGTCATGCAAGTCACAGGCAGATGTTCACACTGTAATATATTCTCTAGAGAAAGTGAGAATGATATTTCCATACCTGTGAACATATTAAAAACTCAAAGCTTCGAATATTAATACTAGAATTAATAGAAAAAACAAAGAAAACATAAAGCTTTAAAGTTTCAAAACAAGCTTGTCAAAGTTAAGAACTTGCTTGTTAGAAATTTCTTGTAAGCAAACAGATTTGGAAAAATCAGGAATAGGTAGGAATTCACAGCCTGTGCTTTGTAACTCTGGTTGTTCAGATTAGTAAGGGAACTCAGTTGGCTGTTTACAGTGGTAACTAATATACACTTTTCACCTACTGAGTTGATAAAGTTTAGCTCTGGGGCAAAGGAAGACTGAAATTAAGACATTGTATTTAATAATTTATTCTATATATTTTATTTCAAGCAGATCATTAAATACTCAACCATGCATGCATATGCATTTTTACTTATTCTCCAGACACTGTCAGCAAGGGAGTCACTTTCTGCAGTTTGTTAATGAAATAAATGGTGTAAAGAGTCAAAAGCAGGATTACCGTGCGTTAAATACGTCTCACTTTGTGCTGTATTTGTTTTATGATTGTTTGAGCTCTGTATTTTGGGCTTGGATAACTGGAAGATGATACATTAATTCAGCTCTCCGCTGGTTCTCCCTGTTGGAGGTTGTGCTCTTTACAGCAGGGCTAACAAAAAAATGATGTCTGTAGTTGTGTTCAATCTCTCCTTTATCAGCAATTTCAACTAAAACAGGCTGCAGTGGAACTACTTGTGTAGAGACCAACCCTCCCTTCTGCTGACCCTACTGCAGTATGGAATACCGGTAAAAGAGAGACAGGGACAAAGGCTGAAGGAGGTGCCATCTTTACTTATCACAGCAAAAATGGCCCGAGGTTGTCTGACAGAGACATTAAATGAACCAGGAAAGTGTAGCCTTTAAAATAAATGCTAAATTAGAAACTTACACAACAACCTTTTGAACTCTGGAGCTAAAATACATGAGCAAGTTTGAGCATTTCTGTATTGTCAAGAAGTGAAAGCAGAGTCCATGGTGCATTTGAAAATTCAGTTTCTCTCAGTTACTTTAATGAAGACTTGATGCAATGCTGCTCTTTTATGCTTTGGAATGAATGACAAAAGGAGTCAGTGGCTCAGCAATAACTGGTAAGCATTCCTCCCCATGGCTGGTAATGGGAATGACTGCTTTGACTTGGCAACACAGAAATTTGCCTTTTGTTAGTGTTACCTGGGTCAATAGCAATCACTCCAGGCTGTGCTTACCCAGTTCTGTTTTCTTCTTTTATTATGAATCTGGGTTAAAAAAAAATAATTGAAAAACCACAAATATTATTAGTGTCTCAAGATTATATTTTTAGTCCCCATTCTGTTTCACCCTAGATGTGTCAGAAAGAGTCAGATATATTATCACTTTCATTCTCACCATCACACACTGGCACAGAACACATCTTTCTAGTGCATCTCTTAACCACTAGCATCACCTATTCTCTTTTCATCAAGCAACACTGCATTAAATTCTTCCTTTTTTTCTTTAATTTTTTTTTTCAGCAGCAGACCTAGACTGGTGTCAAAATGCTGCTGGATTTTTTTCCATAAGGTGATACACGAAAAAGTTGTCCTTTATTTTTGATCCTTAGTGTGCAATCTCAGCCTTGGTGACATTTCATGTGCCCATTCCAACACTGTCTTTTCAATTCCCTTTGCCTCTCATCTGTAATCTTCTATCTTGTTGGAAATGCTGCTTCCCAGTTCCTCTGGGTCTGTTTATTCTCTGGTCAAATTTTTGTCACCAGCATGTCTTTGGTCCTTTTACAAGAGTCTCCAGTGTTGGTTGCCCTAATGCAGAAAGGAAATCGCATACAAAGAGAATAATCAAATCAAAATAAAAGTTTGCACATTAGAAAACTGAATTCTTTTAAGCACAGAACTGATTTTCCTGGTTGTTCAAGGAAGCTTCCTCCAATTCAGAATGTTGCCTATAAATAATGACTTCTTAAGCTCAAAATTGTGCCTCATCTTTTTCATAGCACTTTCAGTTTGCTACCATTCTTGGTAGTATTACACAGTATTATTTTCCCAGGTCAGAACATGTGAGCATCCCTGCTGTGCAGAATGGTCAATTCCATCATTCGTAGCATAAATATTGTATAATGTGCTGATACTACTGACATGCATATATATCAATATTTTGTTAACATCAGTGGTACAACATATGGAATCTCTTTCAAATTTTACGCACATGATTGAAAATCCTGACACATCCCCTTTCTGCACTCTGTGGAGCAGGATATGCCTTGAAACTGTGTCCCTTCATTTTAGTGTTACTTCTGGCTTGAATCAGTGCTGCTGCACCGTGAGCCAGCTGACAAAAATGCTGAATAGTGCAGAAGTCCAACATGCTTTCAGCCGCTTCTCACCGCAAGCCCCCGAGCAGATAGAGCACATTTGCAGTGGGACCATACAGTTCACTGACTGGTGGTCTTCCTGCAGACCAGGAGAGAGGAGAAATTACTTTTTTTTTTTAATTTTTTTTTCCCTAGAGATAACTAGATAAACATGCCTGGAAATGGCAGACCTGTTGACTGATGGAGGCATCTTTCCTCACAGCTTTTCCCAATGCTTTGGATTACTCTGTGGCAGCCTTGCTTCCCTCTTCCATTTTAAAAGGGAATAAAACGCATGTTGGAAAACAAAGTTGTAACAAAAAAGCAGAAGGAAAGACCAAGGGATGTTTTTAATAAAGTGAGGGCCCTTGCCAAGAAAGGCTCAGTTTTCCAGTGGCCATTTTACCACCCTTGCTTCTTTATTGAACTAAGCTGGTTTTCCATGAGGCCATCTCATTTTGCAGATGTGGTTCTGGGTGCTGAACATCCTCCCATGTGTTTTGTTTTGCAGGAGGCAGCACAGGAACGTCCCCGACCACCTCCAGCACAGGGACCCCATCACCATCCGCTTCTTCTCACCTTCTCTCTCCATCCTGCTCTCCTCCAGCCTTCCATCTGGCCCCCAACACTTTCAATGTTGGCTGCCGGGAGAGCCAGCTTTGCAACCTCAACCTGTCTGATTATCCTCCTTGCGCCAGGAGCAACATGGCAGCACTGCAGAGCTACCCAGGGCTGAGCGACGGGGGCTACAACCGGCTGCAGAGCAGCACCGCTTCTGCCTCGCAGCCCTCCGAAACCTTCATGCCTCAGAGGACTCCCTCCTTGATCTCAGGAATGCCGGCTCCTTCCTCCCTGCCCAGCAACAGCAAGATGGAGGCGTACAGTGGCCAGCTGGGATCTTTCCCCAGCTCCCAGTTTCAGTATGTCATGCAAGCAGGCAACCCTGCCTCCACCTCCTCCTCTTCACACATGTTTGGTGGTGGCCACATGCAGCAGAGCTCCTACAATGCCTTCTCCCTGCACAATCCCTACAACCTCTATGGATACAATTTCCCTGCTTCCCCCAGGCTGGCGGCAAGCCCAGAGAAACTCACCACCTCCCAAAGCACTTTACTCTGCTCTTCCCCCTCCAGTGGGGCCTTTGGAGAGAGGCAATACCTTTCCACAGGGATGGATCACGGGATGCACATGATCAGCCCTCCCTCCAGCAACCAGCAGACGGCCGCCGCCTGTGACAACAGGCAGTACGGGGCGGTTCAGGGCTCCTCCTCACAGATGTCTGTGCACATGGTCTAACCAGCCTTGCCTCTCCTTGGCACCGAAGGCAGCCGGACCTTCATCGTTCCCAGGGGTGAACCCATCCCAGTACTCTTTTGCCTTCAAACTTATAGTGGAACTAGTATTGTAACGATAAACAAGAGCATAAGCCATCTAGGTGTGTGCCCCAGAACCTTCTGGAGAGCCTCGACTGACAGCCACCGCAGCTTGTTGTAGCCCAGGGCCCCCAGACTGGCACGGAGCATCTGCTTTTTCTGGACATTGCCGAGAAGAGGGTGTGACTTTAACGAGGAGCTGGAGAGAAGCAGCAGAATTTATTGTTTTATGCATTAACTTTAGGCAGTGTGAGCTTTCAGTGTGGAGGGATCCATTCCCTGTGCTGTCTCCTCCAAGAGTTGAAGAAGGGCAGTCTCCCAGGGCTTCATCCTCTGAAGCTGCACTGCCCATGGCTCTAAAGACCTCCCCCTTCCCAGACAGTTCCTCACTGCCAGTGGCTCAGCCCATTTCTGAAACCAGCAAGTGGCCTCTGGGTCTTCCACTGTAGCACAGGAATGGCGCTGCTGGGCTGGAGCTTCTTCTGAAGAGGTTTCTCATTTTCACCATGGCTCTGCCCAGCCGGCTGCTTCCTTATGGAGGTCGAGCTCACCAGCACCCAGCCTGCAGATGGAGGTGGGAGAGAGAGGAGAGAAAACTTTAGCTCACAAAGGAGCCTCAGACAGAAGCGGGGATGGAACTTTGGAAAGGTGAATGGGGGGAGGGGCTCAGCTCCTGCTGACTTGACTGGAAGTAATGCAGCGAAACGGAATGGATGACAGCCTTTGTGGGGAATGTGTGTCTCCCACAGCACTCATCCCAATGGGAAGAACCTGTCCAGACTGAGCTCATGGGGAAGCGTGATGAGAAAAGAGAGCTCTACAGGAGTGCAGCTGACCTTGCATGCGAGAGTTGCCGTAGAAAACCATTAGCATTTCAGAAACAGTGAGGTTGAGTATTTGCCAGCCTTCCACCTGCCACATGGTCTCTGTTTAACCAAATAGATCATTGCCTTTTAACATCTTTCTTTTCTGGCTTTTTTCCTCTTGTTCTTTTTTTTCTTCTTTTTCTCTTCAAATCCTTTAAAAATAAGAAAACAATTGTAGCTTGGTGCAAGCTATGCATTTAAGTTGTGTGAAAATGCAAATACCAAGTAACAGAATACAGATATTATTGAGAGTTGTTGTGAGGTGTTGTAGATAAATGTATTTATATGCCTAGTGGGGTATTCAATATTATGAATATAAAAGAGGGCAATAAAAATGGTATGTAAAATATGTATGAAGAAAAAGCTGTATAAAGATTTGCCCTATGCACGGAACTCTGTTTCTAAGTGCCAAGCACAGAAAGCGCTAAATAAATCTTTGCAATTGTTCCCTCTGTGTTTTTCTCTGTCTGTGAGGCTTCCTCAGTGGTTTTCTAGATACAGACATTTTTAAAATACTGTCACACATATTTGCACAACAGAGAGGGGTAGATATGGAAGATATGGTGCCAGATTGTGAAGTCTAAGCAATATTGCAATAAAAATAAAAATTCTGTCTTCTCAAGAGATTTTAAAAGTGGAGTCCTTGGAATTTGTAAGTTGTCTTCTTCACAGGAAGTGTATCTTAGAAACAGCTTGAATTGTTATTTTGATTATTGAAGAAGCTCTTCAGAACAATTTTTCACAGTCGGTACAGTCAATGACACTTAAAAATAGCCATCTAGTTTATTTATAATTTAAAAAAAAATTAAATGAAATTGGGGGTATGTGTCAGTTTTTAAATTGCACTATATTTCTAGTACGAGATTGAGATATTAACACCAAAAGGTGTGGGAGGCTGAAGCCCCTTCAAACCAGGCTGTAAGTTATGGCTGCAGAGTTTACAGCTTTTCTTGTGTCAATAAACTTCTTTTCCCCTGAATTGAAAAAGCACCAGAAAGGTAGAAAGACTTTTAAAGATCAATTCTGCAAGCATTTCTTTATTTTTGTTTTTACAAGGGAAGATAAATATACCAATGCCGTTCCCAGTTCTGTGCCTAGTCTGTCTGACTGTATTCTGGTTTTTACTGTGTCTAGCCTTGGATGCTGCTGAAAAGGGTAGGGGGGATTATGGATGGGGACACTCTGTCCTTCACCTTGTTGTCTCTTCTTTACCCCTAATGATGAATTATTGGTTTAATCTTGACCAGGGAGTTTTAGAGCCTTTCTAAAATCCTTTCAGAATCTTTCAGAAATGCCCTTCAGCCTGCGCTTTGATGTTTGCCTTTGGGTTTAATTCCATTTTACAGCAGCAGTTTCTACAGGTTAATAGTATGTTGTGTGAACCAGTATTTACTTCTTCTGGCTCTTTGCATTAGATTGCTCTTTCTTATTTAATCAGTTTAATTCTTTGTGAGTCAGACTGTATTTCAGCTAGAATAAGAGACTCAAAATCAAAATCATTGTCTCTATCAAAATACATGTGTCTAATCTGGATTAAACAAAAAAAAGAATAAAAAAATTATCACTGGAAACAATAGCTCAAAAAGGCAAAACATATGCAGGGCACAATTTCAATATTAGTGTGAAGAATTGGTATCTAAGCTTCTGCACATTTTAGTAGGAATCCATGGGTATGAGCTTTGGACCCTTCAGCAGTGTAATCCTTCATGTTATTGAGTACTTTTTTCCCTGATCCAACCATATTCTTCAGAAAATCTTACTGCATTAGTACAAATTGAAATTCCTTTGGGTATGAAGCATATTGACCCCAGGGTGAGCATTCATGGACCTTATTTATAGACATATTTATTTAACTCTTATGTGGCATGTATCTAAAATGAGAGAGCTTAGATAGCTAGATAGTAGTTATTCCTTAGTGTTTTGTTGCTGCAGGGTCAGAATAGTCAGCATCAAAACTGAAAAAAAAATAGGAAAATAATATGGGAGGATTCCCTGTTCCAAGACATAAAGTTGTAAGTACACAAACAGTACTTGGTGTGAAAGTTGCACTGACAGTTTTTGAGGATTAAAAACAAGCTAATACTGAAATAAGCAAAAAATATTACCCTTTTTCCTTGGCAGTCACTATGCAAAGAGAAACCAGAGCAGTGTTTGGAGGGAAGTATCAGAAAGAATGAGACAAACTTGTTAAAATTATTTATTTAGTGCTTGTTTAGGTGCACAAGGGTAACACTCCCCTGAGCAGATAACCTGCTTAAGGCCTTGACACCACCCCAGAAAGACGACGTGAGCATTGCATTTGGAGTGGACCCAGGTGTGACAGGAATCTCCTGTACAGCAGTGCCTCTTCTCCCCCTGCCACACACGTACGGGCACGAGGCCCTGAGCCATTTGCCACTTCTTACTGGAGCTTCCCAGAGACAGCTGATAGCAGGGCAGAATGGGAGGGGAGCACTGGGATCCGTGTGAGATCCAGCAGGGTCCATCCAGCTGGCCTGGTGGGCAGCCCAGGATGCAGAACACACAGCAGCCACCCCAGCAGAGTCCCTTTCCTTGGGTGACTGCCTTAACCACAGGGCTTGAGAGCCCTCCTGGCATGGTCCCACTCTCAGCCAGGAGCCCTTTGATGGCTCATTTGCAAAGCATGTGTGTGTGGGTGGCAGAGGCAGCAGTGCTGTGGTTCCTGTCCCCTTCCTTCCTTCCCTACTTTACCACGAACATTTGAATGCTTTGGCCAGCTTTGAGCAGCTTTGGGATGGAAGTTCTCACATATTTCTTTAGAAGAGACAGTGCAGGAGGGCAGGGACCTTATTAATTTTCCCAGTGCAGGGAAGGCCACCATGTAACATCTCATTCAAAGAAGCCACACAAGGAGCAGGTGTCCTGCATGCAAGCCCCCAACCACAAGTTTCCTCTGGCATATGGATGTTATTAAACACCAGAGGATCTACCCAGAGTTGCAGAAGCCAGGGGGTCTCAACTCCACCTCTTCTGGGCTGGCCCATTTGGCCTTAGCCCATGCAGGCTTCTGGTTTCCAGTTCAGGAGAAAAGAAGGCTCTGTATCTCCCAGTTCGCTGCTGCAAATTTAAAAGGTCAAATATCATGTACCTCTCTGAAGAAGGATCCCTTTTCAAAAGCCAAATCCAAATCATAGAAGGTGTAATGGAAATCTCAATGATAGGAGATCCCTCATCCTACAATACAGGCTGTTCCAAGTGCAAACCTGACAACTTGTTACAGAAATGAAAAGAATGGCACAAAAATAATTGGGGTGGGTTTGCAAGCTCTACAGAATTTATTTAGCTTTTTTTCTTAGCACACTGACAGGCACAGGACATAAATATTATCACAGTCAGTGCATCTCAGCAATGCCAGGACACTGCAAACCAGTGCAGCACAGTGTTCCTGGAGGAAATGTAAGCACTATGTGCTAAAGCAAAATGTTCAGGGCACAAACATAAATGTAAATTAAGTTGAACAGGCTGTGACACTCTCTGAAGTACGTGGGAGGCTGGAAGCATTGCTGGTTTGAAACATTCTGTGTGCATGTGCGAGGGGTAAGGGCCGGTCGGGCCTTGCTCTGGCGAGGGGATGCCCTGCCCTGCCCACCCTATTCCTAGAGCCTGTATTCCAGCCTGGCAGTGGCTCAATCCCTGGCACACCAGAGGCAATGCATTCATCTCTGGAGCCCCTAATCCAGCTCCAAAAATGACCACAAGTCTCACATGGGGGAAGAGCCCAGGAAAGGCAAAGGGTATTTAACCCAGGACATGCAGCAGGGACATGTCTTGACCCTACATCCTCTTGTAATTTCTATCAGCTGAACACTGCAGGAAACAGGAGTAGTGGCTATATTTGTCCTTTTCTATCTTTCTTTCTTCTAATTCTCTCTTATGCAGGAAACAGGAGTAGTGGCTATATTTGTCCTTTTCTATCTTTCTTCTAATACTCTCTTACGGGAATTTTGAGTAACTTAAAATCGAATGGCCTTAGAGTTGCTGAGTTGAATGGGCCAAGTTAATACTTTGGCAAACGTTTTCTATTTTTGGGGGCCTTACAGTGCACTACAGCAAAAATTGCAGAAGATGATCTGCTAGAGTGCTTCATTACTGCGTACTGGTTGAAGCTTTACTGAGGTGGGTGAGGGCTGAAAGATAGCATCTGCCACCAAAAAGTCTTCAGATTATTTTCCCCCCAACTGGAATAGCTGCATTGACCTAGAGCACCCATCCCATGCAAGATCAGCACTAGCAGATCAGTTTTGCTGGATACTGCTTGTTGGACATAATTCTAAATGAAACAACAATATAAAAATGCAGCCAAGGGCTGGGCAGAGGAATGCCTGAGCATGCCCATTGCATGCCACAGATGTAGTAGAAATTCAGCCATAAAAGCAATGACAGGACTTCATGAGGAGGGTGCTGGTGTGGCCAAGGGACAGTTTGCTATAAATAAGCCTGCTCCTGTCCAGGGAATATCTGAGTCCTTCAGCACTTTTTCTTCTATAGAGAGGCAGACTGCAGGAGCAAACTTTTTGTCCAAGTTTGTAGCCCAGCATTTTGAATCCACAGATGGGATCATTTCTGAGAGCTTCTCTATGGGTCAGGTGGGAGAGGCTTCTGTAGCCTGATGCTAACCTACAAAACTACTGCTGGAAAAGTGGTTCGCTCAGTTTTCTCACTGCTCCTTATAATTTGTGTGTAATTGCTATTTAGGAAACCACATAGAATATAACTAAAATACATATATCTGCTTTCAAGCTTTACTTCTCCACATCAGTCACTATTGTTTATCACCCCAGAGGCGTGACATGGCCACAAATTACAGGAGCACTGTACAGCTCTTCAAATATCAGCTCCTTTCTGCTATAAAGCCCTCCAACAGTTCTAGCCTGTCTGAACAGAGGAAGAGGCTGGAAAAGAGCAGTTCCCATGGACACTGCATGCTGCTGTGCTCCGACAGCACTTTGGTGAGTGTGGCTTCTGTGCTGGATAGTGGTCAGCACCAGCTGATTCTGGGAGGAGTGATAAGCCTCCACAGTGGGGATAGTTGTGCAATAGCCCATCTCTGGAGCACTGAGCTCCTTTCTTTTCTGACTCAATGTGGAACTCATTGCATGCTGTGGGGGAGAAGGATTAGGAGCATGTAATTTTACACTGGTTGATATTCCTACAGATGCTGTTCTTATTCCAGTAATGTTCTGAATTTGTTGAGCATTTTGGAAGGTCTGACATTGAGCTGGATAGAGTGACTTCTGTGGACTAAACTCAGATGCTTCCAGAAGCAGTCCTAGACTCTGTTTAGCTTGGTCTGCCCTTGATCATCCAGCACTGTGCACAGCTCAGGGCACTGTTTTCCAGCTGACTGGGTGCAGCTGTGCTGCACAGAGCTGGCCCAAGTGGCACCCCTCCCCAGCAGAGACCATTGCCCTTCTTAGGATGATGGAGAGGGTGGTGCTGCTTCAGCCAAGAAGCTGGTTCAGCTGTTAATAAACCTGGAGCTTTACTCACATAGTTATTGTCAGTGAAGGAGACTGTGGCTGGGACTTCTCCCTCCAGACTACACTGATGGCAGCCCTAGGGACATTCTGCAGCACCCACAGTCTTCCCAGTGTTTCCATTGTAAGAA